GCAAATGAAGTTTTATTACCTATTTACACTTGCGAAACTTATTCGCTGTAACTCTTTATAATTTTCAATATTAAACAACTCCGTAACTGTTACCTCGGTTTTGAAGATTCGCCGAGGAAACGTCGACTCGAAACTTATCGTGGTGCTCTTTTAGATCATCCGGTGTAAAAGCGCCCTTTACGACGGTGTCGTCGGAAATTTTTCGCTGCAAGTATAGGAGCTCTGTCGTCCTCTATTTTATCTGATAACGATGCCGAGATTAACGCGGGGAGAGTAATACAAGCACGAAACCGGATAAGATCGCGAAGCTCTTTTTCTTCTCTGAAAACATTACTTCCTGAGAGGTAACCTAGACTTCCCGCGGTTGTGCGATAGACGTGACGTCATAAATCAGCTTGTAATTAAAAGAGAGACCGCCGGCTATCGGGCAATAAGCATGGCTTAATCCATTTCGTTGGTCCGGGGGGTATATGGGAGTAGAAAAAAAAGGTTGTAGCCTTTCTAATTTAATCTGGCGAATGATTCCGTGATTCTCGAAGCCGGCGGCAACCCTTTCATTACTTACGTCCCCACCTTGCACCGCGCAACCCTTGCGGCTCCTTGCCTACCTCCTCCTCCTCCTCCTCCTCTTTCTCCTCCTCTACCAATTTCTGCACCCCCCTCGCGCACGGGCACCACCGTGAATCGGCGCAGAACACTAAATCAGCGACCGGTGTAATTTTTGTAATGGGAGGTGTGGCTTCGTAGGGGTGGCAAGCGCGTGGCCGCGAGGTAGGAGTTTAAAGCGCATGGAAGGGATATATTTCCCCTACATCGGCTTGCGTGTAGGTGGTACGGCAGGGTGGAATTCGTAGGGGTGATTCTACGGGGTATCCCGTCGAGCGAGACGCGCCACGCCGGAGGTTAATCCTCCACAGCTATTTCATGACCGTCGACGAACGTGATCGTTCCTTAGAAAGATCTTATAAAGCTCTCGTACACCTCGATTAGCCTTACTGCTAAGCTATTTATTGACTAATAATTAATGACTAAACTATACATCGTTATTTCTCACGTTCTATATATACTGTTATTTAAACTTTTTTCATTATACATTTTGTATTTATATTCCTAATTTTCTCCCTTTGTGTCTCTAATTACCCTTTCTCTAAAAAGAATTAATTCTAAAACAATGAATAATTGTAAGTAACATCATTATTAACGATAAAAGAGTTTTTATAGATTATATTTATTTTCTATTATTGTATAATGGAATTTAAACATCACAATAATAAAGATGTAAATTATAAAATATTTGTTTAAAAAAATTGTCGAAACAAAGTTACTTGCAGGTAACAGTATATATTGCGAAAGAAATACATTGAAATTTATTAGTAGAGCTTGTAATACTTTGCAATTAATACACTTTTTCTGTAAATAAGTTTATTATATTCAATTTTAAATAAATCTCTCCTATATTAGAATCTATATTACATTAATAATTATGTATAATAATATCGCTCGTAAAGAAAATTTCTTTAGAGAACATAAATAATCAATAATAAATAATCAATTTTTGCTTTCCTTATTTAATTGGATTTGCGATTAAGTCGACAAGATATCTAGTCATTATGCATTCATTACGATAAATCGTTGATAATTGAATCCCCCATTCAATCGTGATTACGATCGCGCACGTTCCTTTACCGAGTCTCGGACAAAGTCGATTCTTATCCTCCGCGGGACGTTGACAGGCGCGAAATTAAAAAGAAACAAACACCAGCGCGCGGTACCATAATCGATATCCCCTCGCAATTCGCCGTCGTCTTCACTTCACGGCGGCACGTCGTAGCGGCACGTTCCATCCCTTCCGTCGATCAGCCACCCTCTGTGCGCTCGCTCTTCGTCGCCGTTGGAAATCGAGGGCTCATAACTCGCCGTCCTAAACGCGCCGCCTAATCGACTGGAGTGCGGCTGCTATTCCGAATCGGGGTACATCCGGCGTGATGCCGTGTGTGTGGTAGGAGGGGGTGGAGGCTAAATTGTGCGGTGGAGCACGGATAGTTGAAGGATCGACGCGCGCGAACGAGCGGCTGGGGATGAGAGCGAGGAGAGGAAGTGTGTGTGTGTGTGTGTGTGTGTGTTTGTATGTTTGTGTGTGCGTGCGTGTGAGAGAGAGAGAGAGAGAGAGAGAGAGAGAGAACACGCGCGTGAGGGGTAAGTAAGGGGTAACCGTTGGTGGTGGCGTTTGCGACGTGGTGGGGAAAACGCGTAGGGGTACGCGAACGACGTGGTGGCGGAGGCTGTCGAGAGAGGGTGGCTAGGTGATGGTGGGGATTTATCACTCTCGGTGGCGTGCCGTGGCCGCACGCGGCACTCGACAGTTTACAGCCGACCGCCGGAGCGGTGGTCTCGTGGTACTTCCGGTGGGACACTGCTTGACGCACGTTTACTTCACGCTTTGCGTCCCTGCGTACTCAAGGGTGTGCGTGGCTAAGGGTTGTAAGGAGAACATTGTACGTGAGAACGTTCGTGTAGAATTTCAATAGATCGCGATCGATCGTTCGACAATTGATCACCGATGGGGAAAGACGATCCGTGGACGGAAGTTGGTGGCCGTTTCGCGCACCTTGTGCAGTGCCACGTGACGCGGACAGCTTAAACGGAGAAGATTGCTCTGCCTTGCAGCGAAACTTTCGCCATTTCCCAGCAATTGTTGACAGGTAAATGCGATCAGAGATCAGATGAGAGATCAGATTACAGCGGGATAGACGGACTGGCGGAAAATAGAATGGGACTTTGATGGGAACTCTAGATTGCGTCGGGATTTGATTACTCCAAATGTGAAAGAGTGTAATTACTCGGTCCGGTAGGTAACATTTATCAATCTCGATCTCGCGTCCCACACGCGCAGCGTGATATTTCTGTGTAAAATGCATTTACGAAACATAAGATGCAGAACGTAGGATGAGAGGAGAGGAGAAAATAAAACGCGCCGATAAGATCGCGACGCGTGTATATAGACGGTGTATAAAATGAACGTGCATTTGCTAAAGAAGTCGCGTGAGAGTCTCGCGTTAATTATAAACTGTCTTGCTTTTTAGCTTGGCAGATAAGCACGCGCTGGCACACTTCTGTATAGTCATTCACCCCCTTCTTGCGCGCTTGCATCTCTCGCGCGAGGGTCCCGTCTCTCATCGACCGACGTCTGTTCCAATTACCGGTCGCGTTTTAAGGCGATTCCGTTGTAGGGCTGCCGTTAGCCGTTAGCCGACGCGGATTAACTGCATCCTTAGAAAAGACTCGTACAGCTCCTTTACTTCGTGATTCCTTTGTCCCGCCGAACCGTCGTAACGGCGCGTGATTATCGACTAGCGCGGCTGCGAGGGGAACGCGATTAATTAACGCCAATTCTTGAGACGTTCAATTAAAATTAAAGAGACAGTTATAATTGCGGCTGTTTTTATTGCGGTAGAGAGAGTTAATTAAATTATTTAGTCATCAATATGTATGTACATACTTTTCTTGTCACGAAAAGTGACGTGCGTTTTTTTTTGTAGTGAAAGAAAAAAATGGCGTAAAATTAAATTTTGTTTAAGGACAGTATTCATAGTCGGTTCTTATTTTAAGACCATCTTAAGTAATGTCTTAAGTCGCTAATGCGACCCTCTGATTGGTTCGTAACATCTTAAGACTCTACTTAAGACGGTCTTAAATACAAGATCCGACTATGAATACCGGCCTTAATATTTTCTTCCTCCAAATAGTTGAAAGTTGTAGTTTATGTAATTGAAGCGTAATTTATATATAACTAAAAAATTTACAAGCAAGATCCAACCTCGATCATATTGGCGCTTCTTACTTATGTCTCTCTCCTCTCTCTCTCTCTCTCTCTCTCTCTCTCTCTCTCTTTCTCTGTGTTATTCATATTCACTTTATTATTGAAATTGTAGTATCCAAAGTCGATTAGATAATTTCATTCATTCATGACAATGGAGCTACGTTTCTTCATTGAACCGTCTTAGTAATGTCTCAAACGGATGCTATGAGATTACGTAATGCACTATGTATGAATCGTTTTCGAGATATCGTCATCCAATATGCAAGAGCGAGCCGGTTGCAGCGCGTGACAAAGCTTTCACGAAGATTAGCGCTAGGTGCAATCTCGCGAGCGATTCGTCGAAATAGCACATTATTATATATCCTTTCAGAATTTATTTTAAAGTGCGTTATGCGTGAATTATAAATACATTTTTACTATATATAAAATAATCCATCTCGATTTAGGATCTAATCGATCTAAACTAACTCTGATAAAAATATATCGCTTTATTTTCTAACTTTCCAAAACAGATTTTTCATACTTACTTACTGTTTGACAATAATTTAAATATTCTACAGCCTCAATATAGCATAAATATGAAGCACCTCCAATTTATAGTATTTACTTGAAAAACGCGATAACAAAAACCAAGGGAGGAATCATATAAAATATTAAAATAGTTACAGAAAGAAATATAATTTTTCTATTAAAACTATTTCAATTTATTTTTATTTAGATATAGAACGTTCACGTCAATTTATGGAGATAATTTATATTTACGGCTAAAAGGTATGTTTTGCATTTTTATAAACTTATATATCGTCACACATTCAAGATCTTCTTTTCTGGCGTAACGTACACTCTCTATTTATTTCGCGAAAATTTAATTAGAATCTTAATTAACGAATTATCGAGCGTCGAACATCAGAAACCTTCACCTTCGATGAAGAAATTGAAAAGGAAATTCCAGCGGATAAATGCGGCTGATGAATCTCTTCGTTAAAGAAAACTGGAAATATCACCGTCTTCAATCTTCCTCTCTTTCTACGACTTTTCACAAGATAAGATACAGATCCTTCTCGCGTAGCCACATCACGCGTTTTATTCCCACATATGTCGTCGGTTGAAGTCGAAATAATGAAGCTAACTGTACGTCCGGACGAGCATCCCGCCCTGTTTCTCGAAAGCCTCGCCGCCTTCTTCATCAGCGACCTTTCCTCTCTTACCTCCTCTCTTGTCTCTTTCTCGTCTTTCTCCTCCTCCTCCTTCTTCTTCGTCGCCGTCCCGACATCCCGCCAAGAGAACGTCTCAACTGTCGGCCACCCGCGTGTACTCGTCCGTTTGAATGCCGATAATTGGCACTAGTTTCAGCCAGCGGCGGGCTCGTTAGCCGGGCCAAGCTAAAGAGAATCGCTTAATTATTTCGTTTGAAGTTCGCTTCCGATGGAGGTAGGTATAAAGTAGATACGGCTAACACGCGCGCGAATAAATCGAGAAAGCTCGTGCGAGCGCGAGACCTTCGAACCGACCGCGTTTGTTTCGCACCGACAAATTGCCGCGACTAATTAGCCTCGCGGGCTAAAAGAGGAGAAAAAGCTGCTATTGCTGTCGTGGACGCTAGTTATTGACGCTATTTCGCCAGTTTATTACCGCGACTGCTGAGTCGAAACTGTGCCGCACTGTCTTCATTGTTTCGAAAAATTTTCCCACTGCTCGTAAAAAATGTATCGAATCATTACCGGTTCTTGATACAACGATCAATGCGCTTCTAAAAAATTAATTAAAGCTGTTTATGCAACTCTTAATGGTTTCACAAGATAGCGTATATTTCTTTTTTAACTAAAATTAAAAAATTTTTAATTGAAACTAATGTAGTTAATAATAATAGTAAATACACTGTTAAATATTAAAAGATCAAATTTAAACTAATTCTTTAAATTAAATATTTTATTGTTTTTAGCTATTAAGTATATAGTATTTTAATATGAGATGTGTGATTAAGAAACAACATCAATCCATTTCTGTGGTTGAATTGCGTACAGTTTCAAAATAAACAACGTTCGTGTTAACATGTATGCACTTAGGAAATAGTAAACTAAATTCAAGTCAAATTTAATACATTTCTTGAATTAAATTGTTTAACGCGCCGTTATTGTTTTAGTTAACCTACAAGGGGCATGAATCTTTTTTAAAAATCTTAATATCTTGTACTTGAGTAACATTTGTTATAATTCATTATTTCATTATATTTTTTGCCCCAAAATATGATACTTTTTCAGACTGTGTAGTAGTAGACTATCATGTAAAAGTTAAATTATACAGACATATTGAGTAGTAACGATATAAAAATGATTTAAAAAATTGGATACAATTTGATATTATGAATTTAACAGTCTAGAGAGTAGAAATAAATAAATAAATGTAATTTAAGTGATCCGAGTTTACGTATAGGTATACGTCACTCATAAACTTCGAAACAGGGGTCCAACAGTCTCAGGGCAGAAGTATTCGTTGCAAGTTCTTTTAGAAAATAACAGTGGAAGTTTCTCTTTCGCCGAAGCAGACCTTTTTTTTCACAAGCAGCATTTTCCTCGTTTTCCGGACATTATAGCGTGGTAGCGGGCCGCCGCTATAATTTAATAACGCCAGGGCGCGCGTAATGCCTTTCGACACGAGTCAGCGATAATTCCGCGGCGAATGTCCAATAAAAAGCCACTTTGCCCGATCGAAATATCAAATGTAATCCTCTTAAGTCGGCCGCACCGTCGAACGTGTATCTCGCGAGCTGACCATCGCACCCTGTCGTCCTCCCCCCTGCTTCGCATCCCCAGCCCCCCAACGGTCTATCAACCCTCGCCTGGACTCTATCTCTGTCCGCCTCGGTGAGCTACTAACTTTTACTTCCCCTCTCTTCAATACCCTCTTCTCTTTCCTTCTTTATCTCTCTCTCTCCTTTCTGTACCGCTCTTATTTCACCCTTTTCTCTCCAACGGTCGTCTTCCTTAAGTCGGAGGGGTTGCTTTTACGGCGATTGAAGCTTCTCGTGGGTCCTTGGGCACACCGCCAGATGGCAGTGCCGCGTCCTTCTGGGCGTCGTCCCCGATATCCTTTTCCTACGAGATTTTTCTCTGTGCAGTGATGCCCTTGTATACTTAGGGTGCCGCACGCGTCGCCCCCAGAATGCCCAATCTCGGTACCAAGTACATCTCGGTACTTGAAAGTAGAAGAGAGTATTGAGAAATAGAGAAGCTAAATGTGAGCTTTCGACAATCTAAAGAAATCCAAATCGCTTCAGCAGAGTTTCAACCGCGCGATAGACGATTGACAATGAGAGAAAAGTTCATGAGCTATAGGAATCGACGGGTTGATGCGCGGTTATTAAGAGATACCATCGATTGCGAGGGGCACGGAAGCAACGCGGACGACACTGGGGCGAAATTCCGCAACATTCTTTTATCGATCGTTAAAAGTTTCATCGGCGCTCGACGGTTGCTCCTTTAGCGCAACGCTATTGAGAGTACCTCGTACAATTAGCTTCGCTCATTAAAGAACCATTTGCAACGGCACCGAATGCCGGGCCGATGTTGAATAATTAGCATTCGCTACCGACCGAAATCGATTTGTTAATTAATAAAGCGCTAACGTTCGCCGTACTAATAATACCGGTCAACAATTGAATAGAGAGCGCGTTCATTAACTCGCCGCGCCACAGCAACCAGCTAACGCCGGGCATCCCCGGATCGACTCTGTATCGACTCGGATAATCGAATTTGTCGCTGGGGGCCCCCTCGCGAGTGGGGGGCGACCTCCTAGCATATCGTCGCGTAAACGACGTTATTTACAAGAAAGGAATGCGATGACTACGGAAAAAGACTTTATTTTATCCTTGGACATTCTCGT